ACTTGAATGAAGAATAAAACAATGATATGATGTAATGATCGATAAGTAAAATGCTTTCATTATGCGAGTGATTATTAGTGGAGTCGACGGAAAAATACATAAAAACATTAATTTATGGACAATAGGTCTGAAGACTATGTGCCCCATAAGTACCGCACGAACCATAAAATCGGGCTCATTTTCAATGGACAGTAAATTACATAATTATCTCAATTATTTCATATATTATTTGACTATTAAAGCCATGAGAATAATGTTTTATATTATTTTGTTGTTGATTTGTACATACCATTAATTTCATAGATATTTAATTGTAATTTTATTTTCTAAAACATTATTTAAATTAATAAAAAACTAAATATGTTTTTATGCGATAATATAGTTTATATGAAAATAGTCTCGTTTTAATGTTTGTCTGCAAAATTAGCGGTAATTTTACACAAAAGGCATTAATATTTTTGTTTATACACGAGTTTTAAAGTTTTTCCGTCTGAATATTAAATGAATTGTATTAATAAAAAAAATAATTAAATAAGAAAATTACCATATTTTTACTGCAACACCGTTCATGAATTGGATATTATATAAACTCATATTTTTATATTAAAAACTCATATTTTAAAGTATAAATCTTGCATTTATTTTTTCAAAACATTTATACAAACGGTGAAAATACTGAATGCATAAAAATTGTGAGAAAATTGAAACTGAATTTATTAGAAAAAATGTATAAAATTTTATTCATTTGAATAAATTCTTCTAAAATCAAAGCCAAAAATTTGATATTAAAGTCATTTAAATTTTGCGTTTATTTGTTTGAAAGGAGAAAGTGTTGGAAAAGAAAAAGATGAGAGAGAGAGAGAGAGAGAGAGAGAGAGAGAGAGAGAGAATAATTTGTATAAACTGTTGGCGCGTTTTGAGCTCAATATTTGAGCGCCAGATGTGACACATATTCACCATAAAAAGTCTTCACCAGTTTTCTGTACAAATTATTTCTTTGTCTCGCAATTGGTTGCATAACAAAAACACTATACTTTATAATACATAAATAAATTTAGTATATTTTAAAATACTTTTCTCTATATATTTCTCTTTGCTTTTCATTATTATTCAGTTATTATTCTTTTCAAAAATCTCTTCTTCTCTCTTAAGTCAGACACAAATGTGAAGACAAAAGGAATGAATTTGTTTTTATTTAATATTAAATCAATTTTTTCTTGACTTTTCTCTTTTAATTAAATATTAAATCGCTTCGCTCTCTCTCTCTCTCTCTCTCTCTCTCAAAAATATAGTTTAATTGAATAATAAAATATGTTTTTCTAAATGTGTTATTCCTCTCTATTTTCAGGTCCAATAATCACAATATTGATGCTATTGTCGTCACTAAACAGTTTCGTAAATCCATTTATTTATCTATTTTTCAATCAAAATTTGGTCAAATCATTGCTACACTATTGCTGTCGCATAAAACTGAACAACGAGTTCATCATCAATAAGACAAACGCCTCCGAACTGAACAGCAATTATAATTACGGCGAGAATCGGGCCGACACTCAGTCCTCCACCGAAGACACTACGAATCGTGTGAACAGAAACGGCGACACAATTGCCATGAATTGTCACGACTTCGGCGCCGACAACGACACCAATCAAAACAAATCTTCAAAATCCAGAGACAAAACGTTTGGTCGCAACAGACGTCTCAATATAAGGCGAAAAACTGATAAAAGCGATAATTTTTGTTGAGTTTATTGTGTAAATGATTGGATCATGTTTTTTATTTTCTTCATTTCTATTTCATTATTACTATAATTATATAAAGTTATTATCGAAAGAGTTTTTATTAATGTTAATTATTAATTGATTGTAACTTTAAAAAACATTTCTGTAAAAATTTATTATGTTATGATTGAATCAATAAATACATAGTTATTTAAACTATCATTAAATCGTTATCATTTATATAACTAATTGCATTTTCTAAAGTGTAAAAAATTTTCTTAAATTTTAATCATTTATTTGAGGTATAATTCTATGGAAATAAAGTTCATCTAAAGATAATTAATAAAATATTTGACATTTTTAAAAGTAATTTAAGCTTAAAATTGATTACAAATCTATAAATAGTTTGCAGACTTGTATACTGTATATTAAAGTTTTGATCGTATTTGACAATAGGATTATAATTAAAAGGTGAGAAAAATTATGAATACACGTATTCCTAAAAATACAAATGTATTGGTATTTCAATGACAATCACATTTCCACTGATAAACTTAAAAATGAGAAATTTGTAGTCTTATTGTAATCACTTTTCCAGGTATTGACTAACACTGTTTCTAGAGTATATAAGAGCCAAAAATCTACAGCAAGGCATTAGTATCATTTGGACAGTCGACCACTCGTTAACACCTTTCCTTCAGTTGTACACCTTATGTACCTTTTGTGCGCTTGTATTATACTCTACGCCTATTTTATATTGATGCTATTTGAATACTTACATTGAAATACGAATCAACCATATCTTAAATAATGTATACCACTTCCACTAACGTATTGATTGCACTGACAATCTGTGGGCTAATGTATGGCTACGGCTCGGCGCCGACGGCCACCACTCCCACAGCGGTGACCACAAAAGCGAAGGACGCGATCGAGAGGACAGAAGTGACGCTCAAACAGGCCATCACTATTGTGGAGAAGCGACGACTGACCGACTGTGTGGCCCGCACTATATGCGAGCTCAGCTGTAATCCCGAAAGTAAGCCTCACATCTCACACTTAATTGTTTTGTCTCAATAGTATTGACCCATTTTTGTGTTATACAGCGTATGGCGAGAAAGGAAAGCCCGTTTACGAGACGCTCAAGAAGTTTGAATCGGATTCGTTGCCAAAGTTGGCCTTTTATAAGACGGCTCGAGACAGAGGCCAAGCGCTGGA